TCCCTGAATACCTTTTGCTGCTCCAATTTTTAATGTCTCTGCTCTGCTGTTTTCAGTTGGAATAGGGCCCAAGGAGGAGCCAGCATAGAGTTTGATAAGAGTTCATATAGGGCTCCTTGGGAGATTATCTTTCTTTCCCCTGCAGATATCTGCCTGGCAGGGGGTTCTTGACCTTAGCATAGCAGTCCTGTGGAGTTTGCAATCCTGCAGGTGGGGGATGGGCACACCTTCCCATTCCCAGAGGTTTGCACTCCACAGTTTGAGTGGCCCTGCCTGGCTGCAAAGAATCTCAGGTACTCAGCTCTTGCCCACCCCGTTCCAATCTCACTGCTCCTCAGGAGGTTCTGACGCAAACCCTCCATTCTGTGTGCAGCCCTCCACTCACCAGCCACGCTGGGTGGGGCTCTGCCGTCTCTTCACCTTGCAGCCTTCTACTTTTCATGGCCAGCTGAGTTCAGTGGGCACAAACTGTACTTTGAATCTGGCCTCTGATGGCAGGGGAGCTGTGCGTGCATGGGGTCCCTTCTCAGCCACACCTCCACCCTCTCTTTTAAAAAGTCTCTCTGTGGCACCAGTGGCTCTCTGCTCACTCCATCTCCGCAAAAGGCAAAAAAGTCCTTCTCAGTCAAGGCTGGTCACAGCCTGCCAGCGCCTCCAACAGTTTGAGGAGATAGAATTTCTCTCTTGGATTTTCCTGGTTGGTACTGCAACTATGGACATGCTGCTTCCTCTGTGCACACAGTCTGAGTCCCGCGGCTCCTATATTCTCCCATGTCTTTCCCTATTAGGGTTGGGGTTTTCCTGTGAGGAACCCGGGGCCCCCTGCCCTGAGTGGAGCAGGAGCCATTAAGCTGTGTTTTCTCTTCTCCGCTGCAGTCACCTTGTGCAGGGTATTTCCCCTTCAACTTATAAAATCTCTTACCTGACAGTGCAAAACTTTCTCTGTACTCTTTGTCTTCAAAAATTCATATTAGCTAAGATTCCTTTGATTATTCAGGTCACTTGTTGGAAGATCAGCTGAAAATCTGTGCTGGGGCACAAGGGAGGAAGCGAACTCAGCTTCCACCTACTCAGCTGCCATCTTCCTCCATCTGTGCTTTTCTTTATAACATACATTCACTGCACTGATTTTTTTTATAACACTTTCTGCACATAAAAAGCAGAGTCATGCCTCTTTGACCTTTGTGCCCAATAACTGTTAAGCACAGTGCCTTTCACATAGTAGGTATTTTATGATAGTGACATTGAAAACCCCTCTCAGCAGAAGGCCTTCTTGGAAATAGCAGTCTTCTGTTGAATAATTACAGGCCCCGAAGTTAGCGGCTGATCAGCTCTGTGCTCTACATATTGCCCAGAGAGGAATAGACCATAAAAGAGGATCGGAGAGAGTATCTCTGGTTGTGACAGTCTATAGCAACATTACAGGTGCACATTTGCCATAATGTGGCTATAAAGACAAATCATGCAGCCAGTCATAAAAAAGATAACACAAGGGGCATAAAATCATAAAGCTGCCATATATTGAGCACTTAGTATGTGTCAGATACTGTGCTAAAAATTAGGTCCAAGCTTCTCAACATCTGTCACCATCCCTTACAGGTTAGAGAAGTGTGGCATACAGGGGCAGCATTAGTCCAGACCAACCCAGTTCATAAATGTTGGGGAAACTTTAAACCAGGTTCCCTTAGTTCAAGCTCTAGACATAGACTTTGCCAAATACACCAAATTTTCAAATCAGTCTAGGCCATAGAGATTAGGCCTGATAAAAACAAGGCAAGACAAAAAACTACTGTCACAGGTAAGTTAGGGGCTGACATAAGTGACCTGATCCATAAATTATCAAATGAGAGATGTTAGCACAATTAGCTGAGCCCTCGAACAACTCTAGCAAGTAGTATATCTGTTGTCATGGAAACTGCTTCATTCTTTTCTCAAAAATTCAGTCAAGTGCCCTGAAATGTTATGAGTGCTCTGTTCAAAATACTGTTTGTTTCTGCTCTGTTTACCTAACAGTTTGATCTTTGAGCAAATGTCAAAATAAATTGCTATACATAGAAATGTATTTTCCCAATGTGTGTGAAACAGATTAGAGCAGAGTTCGCTCAGAGGAATGATGCTTAAGTCCTGTTAGAGAAAGTGAGGTGTACTGACTCCATAACTTCATTACAATCACGTTTCTGAAGAATGCATTATTGGGTGATTTCACTGTTGTGCAGATGTTTAGCGGTCTTGATGAACAGAACAACAGGAGATTGAATTAAACAAAGGGAAAATTATACAACCAAAAGACATGAGATATATGAGGCTGCTGCTGGCATAACATGGCATCCTATTTTACAGCAAACATTTTTTGTATAAGTAGAGTAATGCTCTAAAATAATGATAAAAATTATAGTATAGTAAATACATAAACCAAAAACAGTAATGTATTATCATTTTCAAGTATCATGTACTATATGTAACTGCATGTACTATACTTTTATATGATTGGCAGCACAGTAGGTTTGTTTATACCAGCATCAGCACAAACATATGAGTAATGTCTTGCGCTATGACTTTAGAGTGACTATGGGTGATAGAGAGTCAATGGGTGATAGGAATTTTTCAGCTCCATTATAATCTAATGGGATCACCATCATATATGAGGTCCATCGTTGACCTATATGTCATTATGTGGCATATGACTGCATTTTCTGTAAGTTAGGACTTTATTAAACACCTGCTATGGACAAGGCATTGTATGTGCTGAGGATACACTGATGAATAAGAAAGACTCTCCCCTGAGACCCCACCTAAGATGTCCAGGCTCATAAGGCCCCCTGTGCCCTGCATGGCCCCACAACTGATCATTCCGAAATCTAACCCACAGGGAGCAAGAAGGAGTTTATTCTGTACTATTTTCTCATACTGATTTAGTAAAGTCTGATTTACTGGCCTTAGAAATTGGTACAAAACCATTTTTTTAATATTCTCTGTCTGGCCAGTTGAATGTATACGTTAACAATTTGTGTTTTTATGTGTGCCCTTTGCTGATTTAAAAATACTTGAACTCTGAATTTATCATTTTGATCAAGGAATTGTATGTGCGCTCATGTACAGTGCAGAGTCAGCAAACCATTCACTTTGAAGCCATTCATTTTGAAATATTTTCCCAGAAATGGAGATGCATTTACACAAATTGCTTCCCATTCTCGTGGTGTCTCTCGTTAGCAGCAGCATGCATTTTGTATGAAAGCTTGCAGGGGTTAGGACGCAGATCGCAATTGTGGACCTCAGCACAGCTAACTGGTGTGTTCAGGGATGAAATCTGCAACTTTTGCCTCATTAGCACCGTGTCCCCTACTGCGTTAACCAGCCACAGGCAATTGGAGAACTCTGAAGGTTAATTCTTCCTGCCCATAGGTAAAGTTACAGCTCAATGGACTAAGCCCTTAAAATGTTATCACTCCAACCAGGAAATTTTAAGTGGGAAAAAAAAATAGCTGGTAGTACAACACAGAAAGGTTAAACGAATTGAAAACGGGGCTAAAATAGACTTGCAATTTTTCTCGAGTTGCATAAAATTTTCTGACTTTTATAGAGGTTATGACTCAAAACATGCTTCCACCATGTGATTACCAGAAACTATTAAAATAAATAGTACAAATAGGGCAATTAAATATAGCTACTAACAACTTCAAACCACGGGAGAAGAGAAATGAAGCAGCTTTTTTTTTTCCTAAAAAAAAAAAAAAAAAAAAACAGGTGAATTTATTTTGAATTAAAATAAAGTCCTGTTTTGAAAAGCTAGGTAGGGAGGAAGACTGACAAGGCTAAAATTATGATTATTTCTTCCCTCAAGGGAGTCCTTTTCTAAATGAATGTGTCAGTATGAGGTAGTGCTCCTGCTGAATTAACATGCAGACCAGTTCGAAGAGCCTCTGAGGACCCAACCAAGGGACTGCTGCCTATGTAGTTTAAGACAAATGTCATGGATTCACTGTATACTTCCTAGGTCTCCTGTGACCTCAAGTCAGTGCTCGTCTTCAGCAGGTGCCCTGGTTTTCCTCTCCTGGCTCCTATGCCTTGAAGACACAGTGCAGCATGAGAGGACAGGGAGGTCTGTCTCTGGTCAACGTCTCTCTTGTGTGAAACTAGCACTAACACAGCGGGACTGAACTGGGCCCCACCCTCTGGCAATGTGGACATTGGGAATGAAAAGTGAATGCCAAAATGTGCCTGTCTGTACAAAAAGAGAAAGTAAAAACTCATCTTTTGGTAGTGTTAAACTATGGTAAAGCCAATAGTCTTCAACAGTCAGGGGTGAGGGTGATGGCAAAGATTAGGAACTTTGATACAAACATGTTACTGTGTCTATTCATTCCTCCATTGTGGTTTCCTGGCAGAAAGCAATTTGAAAATAGTTAAGGTTTATTGAGCATGTGCCATGTGGTAAATGCTAGGTACTTGAAAAATTACATGTCATCTTTCAAATAGGTCATTGTAAAAACTGAGGCAAACTAACCAGGAGGGGCAGGGCCAGGGTCCAACTGAGGAAGCCTGTCAGTTGCCTCGGTTCTGCCCACAGTGTTTGCCTCCACTGTAATGCTCATTGAACCAACGAAACCAGTAGCCAGCATGGATCACAATTTGCCATATAACTTGTAATAACACAAACATGCGACTTCCATTACAGAAGGAATGCAACTTATTTTAAAGAAATAAGTACAATGGCATGACAAAATAGAATATAGAGTCTATAATAGAACACATTATTATGAGTGAGATAAGTGTTTTACCCATTCTGATGTCTATTGAGGTGTATATGTAAAGTAATGCAGAAATTCTAGAATTATGGTGTTGAGGAAGGGTCTGCTGGGAACTCCTGGAATAATATGTTAGGGTCACACAGCAATATCACAAAGTGCTTATACCCTCATGACAAAATCAGACCAAATGAATATTGTCGAAAAGTATATTCTCTCATGTAACACTAAACCTTTATCTAATTTAATTTTCAGAACTTCTTTCAAATAGTTAGCAACCTTCTAGATGAAGAAAACAAAGAAAAATGGGAAGATGCACAACAGGTAAGGCTGTAGTATTTCACAAATTAAAGTGAAATTGGCTAAATAAATTTTAAAAATATATGAAGAAATTAATGGCTTCTATTCCAAGAACATAAAAGGAGACTTTTAACAGTCATTGCAGATTATATCATACTAATTTTTGAGAGAAAAAGTGATCTCTTTTATCATAACAATCAATGGAATGAATGATCTTTCTAAATTTGAGAAAACTGAGCAGGTTTAACTAAAATATAACTTTAGGGTATTAATACATAATAACCATGTCCTATCAGTCAGTTTCTATCCTGTCTACAGACTATGCATGGTAAAGACAGCGAATCTAAAAGCACATATTGAAAATGGAACTGTGGGGTATTAACAAGTAAAGTCATTTGCATTTACTACAACACACATATAATCTGAATCATATATACAGATGTTCATTTTGATTCAAAGCCAAGAGCTGTAAATATGAGTTCTCATTTTAAAAGTTTAAATGAAAAATTCTACTTTGTTTTCCTCTTTCTGCTGTGCATGATCAGTGTAGCAAGTTCCCTTATTGGTTTAGTTATTGTTTTAAAGTGCTTTGCATTGCCGCTTGTGTAATGCTGACATATGGTTAGTAACACTTTTCTAGATTACAGCAAAAGTAAGCTAGAGGTTCAGAAAGGAAGAATAAGGATTTTTTAATATATATAATCCTATAAAAATTTAATTTAACTGAATGTTAAACTTCTTTAAATTTTCTACTTGACCCTTGTTAAAATTCCAAGAGAACAATGCATTCTTGAAAATATGAACATTTTCTGAGGTTCAGTTGAACCATCTATGCCCTTCTCCCTTTATAATCACATTCTGGACCCCCATGAGTAAAGCGTGACCTTTATTATTATGATGATAGGAGTTCTAAAAATAGTCCAGTGTGGGTCCATCTCATTATTAGGTACAAATTCTGTGCTTTTGGCCATAGCAAGAAAAAAAAAACAAAAAAACACTCCTTAATTTAAGACCCTGAATCCTTTTCTACTAGTTTGAATTATATATTTGTCCTTGGCTTTTTTCTAGAAAAAAGCCTAATCCACTCCCTGTAAGAAAATGGTGTCTTTCCTTGGAATACTGCTGCAGAGGTTAAGCACATCTTTCTAGAGTGCTGGAGACTATTAATTAAGGATATATTTAAAACAATTTATAATACCCTATTTAAAATAAGACTGCAATTCATCAGATGCTGGTATTTATTGTGAGGTCCCAACTTGAGTAAGCAGTGAATGGTGGCAGAACCTCTCATCAATGGGAAACCCTGAGTCCATAATCCATCTATTCACCTGCGATTTTGACTTAACCGTAGCCTTATCTTTCACTTTTTTTTTTTTAGTTTGATGATCCGAAATGCTTTTTCAAATGACTGTTTTGTAGCTTTTACTAAAAGGTGTTTTCATAAATGCAGCCACATGGTAAATGAGTTTCCAAATTTGTGGCACAAAAGTGAACTCCTCAGAAATAAGCACTGTTTAAAATCCACCAAAGAGAGTGCCTGGTCCTTTGGGAGTACCCTTATCTTATTTTAAAGGAATTGCCTCAGCAAAATAAAATGTGAATCATAGTATATATGCATTTGGAAAACGCTGAGATACATGGTGAATATTGACATCAGGAGGTTTTTCCCAACACACATTATACACTTTTGAAGAAAAAACCCAGGGCCATTTCAGAAACTGCTGCATATCAGCCACAGTTATGAAGGATCAAACTATATTTAGTTATAGCATTCTACTAAAAAATAGTATGCCAAAGTGGAAAAGAAGACTTCACTTTATATTGTACTATTTTATACACCAGCACTGTGATTAGAACTGACAAGTCCATTTCAGTCAAGACAAGCCATTTGAATGTCAGTCATGATACTACGTTCTGTTTTTGTTATACTGAAAATCCATGTGTCTGTAGCAGAAGTGGGCAAATTTCAACCAGTGAGCCAAATCTAGCCTGACACCTGTTTTGTAAATAAACTTTGGGAATATAGCCACACCTGTTCATTTACATAATGCCTACGGCTGCTTTGGTGAGACAAAGATATAGTTGAGTTTTTCCAACAGAGGCTCCCTGACCCACAAAGCCTAAAACGTTTACTGTCTGGCCCTTTACATAGAAAGGTTACCAACCTCTGCTCTACAACACTTGACTACTGCTGGGAAAATGTAATTAAAAGCAAAATCTTCTGCCAACCCGGAAGACCTCTCCACAAAGATAGAAGAGAAAGAAAAAAAAAGTTTTTTTTAATCGAATGAGCACTAAACCAGAAAGTGATGGATGTCACAAGCAATCTGCTAAGAGAATTCAAAAACAAAAAGAAGTCTCGCCCTTTTATACAGTCGAGCCAAGACAACACATTACATATGTCCTCAAGATAAACAGTAGCTATCCCTCAAGTAAGGGGACTTAATATCACAATTTGTCACACAAAGTTCATCTGAAATTCACTTGGTAATTGAGATCTCAACTCATTAGTTAATTGGTTTTATCCAAAGTAAAAAATAATAATAATAATAATAAAAAGTCTCATATCTTAAGGACTAAAGATAGTTTTGCAACTTAGAGCAAGGTGCCTCCCAAAGTTTGGCTCCTTTGCTCCCACAGAAACTGAGGTAGAGGCACTGTCCTTCTTTGTAATTACATTTCAGAGAGACATGCCTAGTCTTTAAGCTGGTAAGAGTCTCTTTCACTTTTTGAAAGATTTACATATATTTCAAAGAGCTAGGGAAAGAACTTAACAATTACTAGAAAGTAAATGCTCTAAGAAAAAGGAGTGCAGAGTGGGTTTGGGGAAGGGAATTTCTTATTTTCAGCAGGGAAAATTAAGCTTCTTATTTTTAATTTGCATTTTCCTTACACTATGCATACTCATATACACATACACCTACACAAAAGCAGTAGGAAACACATTGTAGTAGCAGGAAACTTGGAGTGGATGGAAATTTTTTGCACAGTTTTGGAATGGGGATGAGGAACTTTGAGAATTCCTACTTAATGATTAGAAATGTAGGTAAGAAACAGAATTTCTCCCAAAATCTTTCTGAGGTTAAAAAAAAAACTACCTACGTCAAACATTTGTAAATGTAATATCCATTGTTGGCGTCTTCAAGTATATGTGAGTAAATATATATCCTCAGTGTTTGATGTTTAGATGGGTGCAGCCACAGGCTTCTGTAAAATACACAGAAGGTGCCTGCTACCCTTACTGCCCAACGTCTCCCTCCTCCACAGGCCTTCCTCTGCTCTTCCTGGGTGCTTTCCTGCTCATCAGCAGCGCTTCCCCCTCTGCACTAGTCTTTGCAAATACAAAGCCACTAAACTCTTTAATCTAATTTTTTCATGGCTAGAAGCTGCAGTGGTGCTAAATGGGAAAAAGAAATGGACCTAACTTCAAAAGATATTTTTGTTCTAATGTGGATATATAATGCAGGCTGACATTACAAGCATAAAGGGTTATACATGCTAAAACTCATGTTACCTTTTAAAGGGCTTTCATGTTCCACGCACAGTGAGCTATTATCAGAATCAGGTCGTCTTTGAAAAAACACACATTTGTTTGCAGTGTGTGAAGTGGCACAATTTGAGGTTTGTTCTGTGTATATGCAAAGGACCTACACTAGAGCTATTATGATCCTGAAATTATTCCTGAAGTTATTTATACAGTGACTATTATAATTATTAGAAATAAATGTCCTCCCAAGGTATTTAATTATTATGCAATTGACTTAGCAGTTTGTAAATATCTCCATGATGGCAGCAATAGTTGTGTTTTCTTCCACTGTTCATCATATAGATGCTAATTGAAAAATGTAAAAAGCCCCAAAATTTCAGTGTTTGTTCTTTATTGTATTTAAGTGAGGGAAGGAACACATCAAAAATAAAGACACTCTGTTTCTAAGTAGACCATCTGTTAGATAGTTTGAGTTTCCATACATTTCTAAAGGATTAATCACTGCATCATATCACTTCCAAAGTTCTTGCTGTGTGACACCTGCTGTTATTCTCAACTATTAGTTTAAAAAAATGCAATTGTTGCCAGTTGCAGAAATATCTTTAAATAAATCAGAGCCTATTTGTGACCTCCTTATGTAGATTTTTTAAAAGTTCTAATTATGTATTCTATTACAAAGACTTTTTATTTCAATCTAATCCTTCCTTATTTTTGTAGATTTATCCAGGCTCGATAGAGTTAATGCAGGTGATTGAAGACTTTATACACATTGTTGGAATGGGGATGATGGACTTTCAGAATTCATACTTAATGACTGGAAATGTAGGTAAGAAATAGGATTTTTCCCAAAATCTTACTAGAATTTTAAAAAATTGCAAGTATCTCCGCCATCTGCTCCTAAATGTAATATCCACTGTTCCTACCTTTACATATCTGACAGTAATGTATTATGAATACTTGGTGTCTGATTTTTAAATGAACACAACCACATATACACTACACACACACACACACACACACACACACGCACACACATACATGCACCTTCATTCATTTGTATAAATGGAACTACTTGTGTTCATCTCCACATGGATTTTTAAAGGAGAATGGGCTTCTTTCCCCACTTGCAAAATGCTTGTTGCTATCCAATCTACTGTTGAAATATATATAAGATATACTCTGGTGCGTTTTTTTAATGAGTATAATCCTTCATACATTGTCCATGAGGATGCCGAGTTCCTTTCTTGCTGGTTGTCCCAAGGAAGTGCTGAATCTGCGTGGGGTGTGGGACACTTCGGGATGCCTTTAAGGGTCGTGGCCGTGGTGCTATTGCTGCAGTTGCAGTTTCCCTGAGTAGCTTCCAAGACATAAGGGATCTCTCAGATTCCTCTGGGGTAGACCCTGTAATGTTAGAGCACATGCATTGAACACATATTTCTTCCTTCAGTTGCCTTTAACATTGTCTCTTACAGAGAGAAATTACACAGCAAAACCGGCAAACACTTTGAGGCTGCCACAGTTACATTGAGCCAACAATGATCACGTTAACCAAATGGCACATTTCTCTTTGTAGTTAAAAAAGAGGGTGAGGGCAAAAAATAGTCATATATTAAACACATAGAGTTAATATAGGCTTGTAGTTTCCTTGTTTTCCTTTATATGATCTTACTGTAACTTGTAAAGATTTTCTTTCATCTGCATGCTCTAGTAGTCTTCAAATAATGACCACTGAACTATGGAAAATAATGTGTTTAAATATATCTTACCTCACATTCTTTCATTGGATGTTTAAGCTTTAGTTTCTGGATCAAGAAAGACCTAACTTAGTGGGAGAATTAACTAAGGTAGTTCAACTGGTATAGGGCATACTTTTTTTTATGATTAAGGCTTTTGGTAGTTCATTTTATATTTGATTTCATTTGAAGGTCCTTTAGCCCTGCTGCGACTAATTTGATCCTAAGATAATCTTTTGCAAGGGTGACCTCAAATTGTAACGGGTAATAACTAACCACTGGTAATATTGCTCAGTTGAGGAAAGCCTGTGTAATGGAGTTTTCAAGGGTCTGGAGACATTTTCCTTGCCCATGTAACATCTTTATGCAACATAAGGCCTTGCCAGTTAAATTTATACGTTAATCCACCTTCTGAGTCAGTCTGAAAGCTGACTCAGATTTTTCCCCAGAGAAGGTGTTCAGCAGCTTTTGCTGGTTCAAGAATGGAATGAGCTGTCCCTTGCTAGGGGCTATGAGGAGAAAAAAGGACAAAAAAATAGTATATTTGTGGATGAGTTCCAAAATCCAAGAAAAACCCAAATTATACGCCCATTTCAAAAGTGTCTGGGCAAGGAGAAGAAAGGCAGTCTGTAGGATAAAGGATAGCATGTTGGGCTGTGATGTTGTTGGGACATGGAAAGAGCCTAGAAGATTCTAGGGATGCTGGTCATTCAAGCTGGAGCCACTCTCACGAGGGCCTTGTTTGTGATTTCTTTGGTGGAGAAAGAACTATGAAGCCTCCTCTGCCAGATTGGACAGTACTTGAAGTAATTTACAAGAAAAAAATAAGGAGAAAAAATAAAGAACTATTTTTTTTTCTTTTTTGCAATAGTTACATCTAATTCTAAAAGGAATTGTTTCAGGTCCATCCATACTGTCTCAAATGGTAAAATTTTCTTCTTTTTTATGGCTGAGTAGTATTCAGTTGTGTAAATGTCCCATAGTTGTTTCATCCACTCTTCTACTGATGGACACTTGGGCAGGTTCCAAATCATGGCAACTGTAAATAATGTCTCAATGCACATAGGGGTGCTTATGATCTTTTGAATTACTGTTTGGGGTTTCTTCTGAAAAATTTCCAGAAGTGGGATCGCTAAGTCAAAAGAAAGATTCATTTTTAATTTTTGAGGTATCTCCATACTGCTTCCCACAGTGGCTGCACCGGTCTGCCTTCCCACCAACAGTGCATAAGGGTTCCCTTGTCTCCACATCACCATCAGCACTTGTTTGTTGATTTATTGATGTTAGCCATTCTGATGAGTGTAAGGTGATATCTCATTGTAGTTTAATTTGCATTTCTCTGATAATTAGTGACATTGAGCATCTTTTCATATATCTATCGGTCATCTGTATGTCCTCTTTGAAGAAGTGTCTATTCAGGTCCTTTGCCCATTTTTTAATTGGGTTGTTTGTTTTGTTGGTGTTGAGTTTTGTAAGTTCTTTATAGATTTCGTATAGTAACCCCTCATCAGATATATTGGCAAATACGTTCTCTCATTCTGTGTGCTGTCTTTTTATTTTGTTGATAGTTTCCTTTGCCGTGCAAAAACGTTTCAGTTTAATGTAGTCCTATTTGTTTATTTTTTCTTTTGTTTCTCTTGCCTGGGGAGATGTATCTGATAAAATATTGCTACAAGTAAGGCCCAGTTTTTTTATTGCCTATGTTTTCTTCTAGGATTTTTATGGTTTGGGGTCTAATATTTAAGTCTTTAATCCATTTGAATTTATTCTTGTATCCTGGAGAACATATGCCAAGTGAAATAAGCCAGCCAGAGAAAGACAAATACCATATGATTTCACTTGTATGTGGAATGTAATGAACAAACTGAACTAACAAGCAAAACAGAGACAGGCTCATAGATGGAGAGCAGGATGACAGCTATGGTGGGGGTGGTCAGGGGATAGTGGTACCAAACAAAACAGAAAAAGGACTCATGGCCTTGGACAACAGTGTGGTAATTGCAGGGGAGAGGATGTATAACAGGGCTAAATGGTAATGGAAAAATACAATTAGAAAATTTTAAAGAAAAATAAAAGGCATTGCTAAGTAAAAGTATTATCAGATCAATGTATGGCATTTGTTCAGAACGTGTTTGGAAAAAACTCTAAGAAAACAAAGCCAATCTCAGGGTCTGGTAAACTTAAATTGGAACTTGAATTAGGCTGTTTGAATGATATCATATCAAATTCTCTATAGCACAGGTCCCCAACCTCCCTCTTTTCCCTCAATGGGCACAGTCACATTACTGCCTGAGCTCCATCTCCTGCCCCCTCCCCTGCAATCTGTGGAAAAATTTTCATCCACGAAGCCTGTTCCTGGTGCAAATAAGGTTGGGGACTGCTCTATAGTACTAGTATTATTTGCTATAAAAGTTTCATAAATGTCCATAAATTGCAAACATTTTTTACCTTTCTTTGGACTTCCCAAAATTACATATTTGAAAAATGTGTGTATTATTTTTTGCATTTTGATTAGGTTCTCTAGGTCCACCTACTTTCTTTATCTTCACTAAACTTTAAGTATGCTGAGCAGAGTAACTCAAAGAAATTTAATGATATAAAGAAAGCTAATATTGCCCTTCATTGTCTTTAGTTTTGTGTAAGGACAGTGTGATTATTTGGCCTGATTACTTTTATAGCATTCATTATCTACATGATAAAAAAAAAAGCTATGTTCTGTAAATAAAAATCCCAAACATTATTATACTGCCCAAGTGAGATCCTCTTTATTGTTGATTTCAAATACTATTCGGGGGCCCAACTCACTGTTGTTTGAGGACCGGAAGAAGTTTATTCTCAAAAATATTAAGGGTTTTCTAAAGTGTATCCATATTTTAATCAGGGTTTTTAGAAGAATAGAACCACTGTGATATGTGTAGATATACAGAAAGAAATTTATTTTGAGAGATTAGCCCATGCAGTTATGGAAACTGAGACATCCACATTCAGCTGTCTGCAAGCCGGAGGCCAGGAAAGCTGATGCTGTATTTCCAGCTTGAGTCTGATGGTCTGAGAACCAGAAAGGCCAGTGGCATGAGTCCTAGTCCAGATACAATGGCCTGAGAACCAGGAGCACTGATGTCCAAGAGGATGAGAAGATGGATGTCCCGGCTCAAGCAGAAAGAGCAAATGCACCCTTCCTCTGCCTTTTTGTTCTATTCAGATTCTCAGTGAACTGGATGTTGCCCACTCACATCAGTGAGGGAAACCTTTACTCAGTCTACTGACTCAATGCTATCTCCTCCAGAAAAATTGTTGCAGACACACCCAGAAATAATGTTTTACCAGTTCTTTGGGCACCCTTTAGTCCAGTTGTTACACATAAAATCAACCATCACAATCCACTAGTATCAAATAATAATTACTATTAATATTCTTCATGTTATCCAATATTATATTAATATGATTACCTGATTATACTTTTGTCTGATATTCCCAATATGTTTGGATAAGAACACAGAAAATATTTTACAGCAGAAATGGTGAGACATTTGAGTTGGCACTTATTTGTCTTACATCCCAAGTCCAAATATTAATTATCCAGCATCAAGCTCATTATACTGAGCACACACGCATACAAACACACATGCTTGCAGGCACATATACACATGGCATGTGTGATAAACAGAGACTAGATAACTAAGATGGCCTTTTTCTTCAGAGTGTGATGGATTAAGACTACTTAAAGAGCTCCAAACAATCATCATGTCTTTTTGAGAGATTACAGTTTTTTCAGAAAGCCTATATGCAGAGCTACCTCACTTTTCTGGAACATAGATAATAAGTTCCTGAAGAAAGCAACCAAGTTGAACAACCAAAAATAAATGTCTTAAAGACCACACAATTCATTAAGAGAATCTCAGCACCTCACTGATGCCCCAACTTTATAGTTTCAGAATTTCTGTTTTCTGGTTACTGGTTTAGAAAGAATGAGTTGGAAGCAGAGACAGAGCTATTAGAAGCACATATATAGCTCATAAAACAGATGATATGCTGAAACAATGAGGAAAATGAAGTCCTAAAAAAATGCAGCAGAGAAAGGAGCCTGCACTGT